CGGGAGAAAGAGGGGCTACCGACTCCCGCCCCCTCCAGGGAGACCCCAGAAGCGAGCGGGAGCTCCTCCGCCTGGCCTGCCACCTTCCAGGTCGCCGTGCCGAACAAAAAGCAGGCACAGCGAGTGGGGACAGACCTTTCAGAAGGCGACGGGGCTTCTCAGAAGCCCTCCTCCTCCCCTTCTCTTCCCGCATCCCTCCTCACTCCCCCTCCTCCTCCGCCTCCGGCCTCCTACCTCCTCCTCCTCCTCCGTCCTCCTCCTCCTCCTCCTCCTCCTCCCTCCGCCTCCCCCTCCCCCTCCCCCCTCCCCCTCCCCTCCTCCTCCTCCTCCTCCTCCTCCTCCTCCTCCTCCTTCATCCTCCTCCTCCTCCTCCTCCCCTCCTCCTCATCCTCCTCCTCCTCCTCCTCCCCCTCCCCCTCCTCCTTCCCTCCTCCTCCTCCTCCTCCTCCTCCTCCTCCTCTCCTCCCCTCCTCCTCCTCCTCCTCCATCCTCCTCCTCCTCCTCCTCCTCCTCCTCCCACCTTCCCCTCCTCCTCCTCCTCCTCTCTCCTCCTCCTCCTCCTCCTCCTCCTCTCCTCCTCCTCCCCCTCCCCCTTCCTCCTCCATCTCCTCCTTTCTCCTCCTCCTCCTCCTCCTCCTCCTCCTCCTCCTCCTCCTCCTCCTCCTCCTCCCCCTCCCCCTCCTCCTCCTACTCCTCCCGCCGGAGGCAAAGGGCCTCGAACGGAGAGGCCACACCCTGGCACTCGTACGTCGAGCGCGCGGAGAAGAGCTTCACGTCGACGAGCGAGGGCCAGAGAGAGGGCATGAACTTCTGGCAACTGAGCTCGATCCATCCGGCCTCGGGGGGTCCTCCTCCTCCTCTTCCTCCTCCTCCTCCTCCTCCTCCTCCTCCTCCTCGTCCTCCTCCTCTTCGTCTTCTCCTCTTCGTCCTCCTCCTCCTCCTCCTCCTCCTCCTCCTCCTCCTCGTCCTTCTCCCCTCCAATGTATGGTGGTGGGGAAAAACAAGCCCATCAAGCTCACTCTTCTCTGCGCCATGAGGCTAATGATGAGGAGGGGGTGAAGAAGGCAGGGAGGAGCGGGAGGCGGAGGAGGAAGATGAGGCGCACAGTGGATCACGGGCGCTGGATGAGGATGGCGAAGAGGGCGAGGAGGCGAAGGAGGAAGGGGCGAGGAGGGCGAGGAGGACGACGAGGGGGATGAGGACGATGAGGAGGATCCGTCGACCCCCGCTTGCCGGGCATGACAAGGCGTGTGAAGCATTTGGCTGTCTCCCTCCCCAGTTCCTTCACCTGGCCGCTCGCGTCCTGCACACAAGGCTTTGAGAGAACGTGATCGGGAGACAACTCCATCGGAGGCTCCTAAGGCGTTGCAGACATCATAATGCAATGAGCTGCTCGATCGACCCCATGGGAGCGAGTAGCGAGGAGAGGGATGAGAAGGAGGGGGTGGGGTCCCACCCCGCGTTTGAATGGTGGGAGGTGGGGGGACGAGCTCCTAAACGCATCCCCAAAGCCTCCTGACATGCAATCCGTGGCCTCCGTGATTCCGTTCCATCTCGCTCAAGCTGGGCTCCAACATGCCGAAACAGCCTCAAACCACTCCAGATAGCATCAAAGCGGGCTAAAAAGCCTCCAGGACGCCGTACGAGGGCTTCAACAGGACCCCCAAGAGGGTCTAAAGAGGCAAAACTCATCCCAATCAGATGGGAAAGAGAGTATTTTAGCATACTCGCCCTTTTGGTTTCAATAGCGTCCATGACGGCTCAAGACGACTGCAACATCGCTCCAAAGCAGCCCAAAGAGCCGCCTAGACGGCCACAAGACTGCCCAAGAGGCGCCCAACACGGCCCAAGAGGAAATCAAGAGGGGCCCAAGAGAGGTAACTCGAGTTGGCCCTTCGTGCCCTCCACCCCAAAAGGATCCCCGATACCGCCATCAGGCGCCCGAGGACCCCCCAGGAGGCCCCCACTTGGCCCGAAAGAAGCCTTCAAACGCCCCCCAGATCGCCATGACACCCCACCCGGCTCCGACGGTCCCAAGAGACACCCGCAAGCCCCAAGAGGGCCGCATTCTGGGCCCGTGTGTTTCGGCCCGAGAGATCAGAAGGTTCCACGATCGTTGCGAGCTCCCTCTTCTGGGTCGGCGATGATGGGGTAAGCCTTTCGAGTAGCGGGGAAGGCGTGTAGATGGAGGATGGGGAGGACAATGACGAGGTAAACGATGAGGGCGACGATCAAGCGATCCAGCAATCCCGATCCAGCCCCACCCCGACCTGCCCATCCCGAAGTCTCGAGAGGCTAACCTGGAGGCCTCGAGGAACCCCTGGAGGCCCCCAGAGACCTCCAGAGGCTCACGGAGGCCTCCGGGGGCGGCCCCCCCCCTCTCGGGGGCGCGCAAACATGGATTAGCGATCCATGGATTTGGCGCGCGGTCGCCAAATCCATGGGTCGGGGGAAATGCCCTCCCCAAAATGCGGCCGGTGCCGCCTCGCTCGGGGGCGGCACTCCGCGATTTCCCGCGGAAGCGGGACCCGTCGCTAATCCACGCCCCCTGTGCTCCATGTTTGCGATCGCCTGGCCCTCCCCCCCTCAGCAACAGAGTCTCCTGGATGCTCGTGCTCCCCCCCCCCTCCCCCCGCGAGCGCAGGTCGGTGGCGAGCCCGGGGGGAAGGCGAGGAGGGGCAGGCCGTCTCAGCAGGCTCTGCCAGTCGGCCCGTGTCATGAGGATGCGCGATGAGGCGATGAGGACGCAGGGGCCTCGGAAGGCCCTCTCGAAGCTTTTCGAGCGGGGTGCGGCAACGATGGTGGCCCAGGATGGGCCGAGGAGGCAAGGATGTCAGGGTACTGCCCATCCTTGTCATGCGGGCTGACCGTAAGTCCCCCGGCCTCCTGACAAGTTGTAATCGCGCCCATCGGCCGTGCGACGAGCCAAACTACAGTGGAGACCAGCCCATAAGGAATAAACCTACCACGAGAAACCCAACCCTGAGATCCGAGGACGTCCATTGGTTTTTGATGCGGGAACGTCACGCTTTCCATAGCAAGACCGTCGAAATCCAAGAAACCCGGGGCACCCTGCAGGCAAGCAGGGTGTTTCTTGGCATGGGGACCCCACTGTAAGAGAGACGCGACGACCCGCTGGTTGCCTCCCGCCGTCGAAATCTCCTGCTCGTGGCGGAGGACAAGGAGGACGTGGCGGAGGAGGAGGAGCGGGAGGAGCAGGAGGAGGAGGGGGAGGAGGAAGATGATGATGATGATGATGATGATGAGGAGGAGGAGGAGGAGGAGGAGGAGGAGGAGGAGGAGGAGGAGGAGGAGGTGAGGAGGAGGAGGAGGAGGAGGAGGAGGAAAGACCCTCTCCTGCTCCCCGCCTGCTCCTGCCGTCCCTGCTCCCCGCTCCTCTCGGACGGGGCTGGGACGAGGACGAGTCCGCCCCAGAGCGCTCTGGAACGCTCTGGGAGCGTTCCAGAGCGCTCCGAGGAGGCCGCGGCGCCCGAGGCATCCTCCAGAGCCGCTGGATATCAGAGATTCCCGATTCGTCCTGACCCGATCGTATCCTTGCTTTGGCCTCGTCCTAGGGAGGGGGCGAGGAGGGGGATGGGGGAGGGGGGTAGGGGAGGGACGGAAAGGGGAGGGGGAGCGGGCGAGAGGAAGGGGAGGAGGAGGAGGAGGGGAGGAGGAGGAGGAGGAGGAGGAGGAGGGAGGAGGAGGAGGACGTGGTGGAGGGGGGGAGAGGAGGAGGAGCGGATGAGGAGGAGTGAGGAGGAGGAGGAGGGAGGAGGAGATGAGGAGGAGGAGGAGGAGAGGAGGAGGAGGAGGAGGAGGAGGAGGAGGAGGAAAAGGAGGAGGAGGAGGGGGAGCAGGAGGGGGAGGGGGAGGAGGAAGATGAGAAGGAGGAGGAGGAGGAGGAGGAGGAGGAGGAGGAGGAGGAGGAGGAGGAGAAGAAAGAAGAAGGAGAGGGAAGAGGAGGAGAGAGCAGAGAGAGCAAATGTTATCCTCGTCCTGGCTTGGTCTCACTTGTTTCAGGGGGGCCAGGTCGCTCCGGCGCACCGCCGGGAACGAACCCGCACGTCGCAGGCGACGGTCATGACAGTCCGACCCATTTTAGCCTTGACCACCAAGAGAGTGCCGAGACTGGAAGGTTTTCACGCGTCGGGCCCAAGGAGGCGATACTCGCTCGACACTGTTTCGATATCTGGGTGATCGAAACTATTTCCGGGATGTGGTCCTAAAGTACGATGGGAGCAACAGAAGGCGAGGGCCGCTCCCGCTCCTCCTCCCCTGAAATCCTGGCGTCTCAATATTTTCGAGCTGGGCGATTTCACCTCTTCTCGGGCACCAGGACCCTCACAGATCGATCCCGCTCGAGCAGTGACGCAGAACGATGGGGCCTAGGGCTGCGGGCGTGGATTTTGTACGATGTTGCAATTGCTTCGCTACGTCGGATCTCAGGCAAGAGAGCCCAGAATCGAATCGAGAAGACGGATCGGCGATCGACATGAATCGGATCGGCGAACATCGGCAACCGAATTGGGAAATCGAATCGGCTGACATCGGCAGGCTAGTAGGCCTCCCGTGAAAAATCGGAGCCCAAATCAGAATCCGAAGCGGAATCGAAATCGAATCGAAATCGGATTGAATCAGAGGAATCGAATCGAAATCGAAATCAAAATCGAAACCATTAAAATCGAATCGAAACCATCGAAATCGAACCGAATCGAATCAGAGGAATCGAAATGAGCCCTGCCACGGGACCCGATCGCCCACGGACCGCCCCGAAGCGGGCCCCGAAATCGGACCGCCGCGACTTGTGGCTGGCCCCGGCCGACGCCGGTGGATCTACCGCGCGCCCCGCGGGGCGCGAGGCATCGTCGCGTTCAGTCGGGCATGTCCCTCTACAGGAGGAGTATCCAAGTCTGGGGACGATTTTTTTTTTGACTATCTTCACTATTTTTGAATATCTTTGTCCCTGCTCCTTCTCTCTCGTCCAAGATCCGCCTGCATCAGGGCGCGCCCGATCTACTCATCGCGCCTTCGTGCCCCCGCGCCGCCGCCTCAGAGAGAGGCAGCCGCTCTGGCCCACGCCGCGAGGGCAGAACATCCACTCCGATATCGGAGGAGGGGGGGAGGAGGAGGAGGAGGAGGAGGAGGTAGATAGATAGAGCGGCATAGGGGGGCGGAGCAGTGCGTTTGGCCTCGAGGATGGGCCCCCGCCGCCGCCGCTCAGAGCGGCACCTTCATCGTGATCGCGGCGCCACGCGCGCCGATCACCTTGCCGAACGAGGCGTAGTCGAGTCGTCCATCCATATTCTCATAGTCATAGCCCTGCCAACCACGCAGCCAGCTCATCCTCCATGACTCCCGCTGGTGGTTTGCCCGTCTTCACGGTGGCTCCCGCTTGGATCAGCGCCCTGTGGATGCTGTCCTTGATGTTGCTCTGCTGCTTCTGCTCCTCTGAAGGATCCTCCTCGGCCTCCGCATCGGTCCAGGGCCCCTGCCCGATATGCAGTGTGATATTCGCCTGGTTGCTGTCGTAGCACTTGCTGGTCTTCAGGTGCTTCGCCTTGTTGAGGACTGTCGCCGCGCTGACCTGGTCCACGAACTCCCCGTGCTCTGCGAGAATACTCTTGGTCTTGGCGCCCACGTCCTCGGAGCAGAGGGTCGAAATAAGCGTGACGTAGATGTGTCCTTCTGGAGGTCCCAGCGAGTGCCCCTTGCCCGCCTCCATGCACTTGTCCGCGTAGATCTTCCTGCAGGCTCGGAGCGCCTTGATCACCTTGGTCTGGGTCGGCATCAGGTACGTGCTGTATACCGCGGAAACGACCCAGGCGATCTGTTGC